AGCCACCCCAATATCCAACCCGAAGGCCCCGATCTGCCCTCCATCTCCAGTTTGGGGGGGGAGGTCGGGGAACGTTGAGAAAACACATATGGAGCCCGTACCCCCCCCCAACCCGAAATTCGGGTCTTCGGGTTGGGTTGGGGTGGTTTGGTAGGTAGTCAGTCAGGGGCAGCGGCCGTCCAGGCCTCCCATGATGGGGGCGGAGCAGGTTGGGGTCGAGGGATCGTGCCGCATCGCCGATGCATCGCCGATGCTGCTCGATGTGGGCCCCAATTTTGGTGACGCCGACGGCGCCGATGCATCGCCGACGTCGCCAGTGCATCAGCGATGTATCGGCGATGCGGCGCTATCCTCCGACCCCATCTCCTCCGACCCCATCTGGGAGGCCTCTAGACAAGATGCTGCAGAGTTCGATGTGTTCTGACGTTCTCGTCCTGTCATGGCGGTCCTTCAGCCTCGGAGTGCGCTTCCAGCAGGTGCGCCTCGTCGAGGGCGCTCCGGGAGTGCAGGCATCACTTCTCTGGCGTAGACCTTGCTGTGTTTTCGGGCGTTCTCGTGGGCCCTGCCTCGGGATGCTCTCCAGCAGCTGCGCCTCGCCAAGAGGCGTCTCGGAGTGCCCGGATCGTCTTGAACTGTCGCTGGAGAGCCGAGGTATGACCCGAAAACCACCGTGGAGACATCAGCCATCGGTCAGGGGCAACGTTAGGGAAGGATAGACTAAGGGGGCGATGCATCGGCCCCCAATGGGCCCGACGATAGGCCACCTCACCCAGGAACGAGCGGTGTCGCTATCGGGGGCCTATCGCCGATCTATGGGCGATGTACTGCCGACTCCAGGTCGATGCTTGCCTCGCCAAACCTGTCCCCGCCCAACGTTCCTTGTCAGTCAGAGGAAATTGTTTGCCGGCGGAAGCCCCAAGCAGTGGGTCCTGACACTCTCGGTGTGCAACCTGTGTGGTGGTGCAATCAGTGTATGGTGCAACCTATGTGTTGCAACATGCACGGTGCAGTCTATGCGATCCAACCTACGCCATGCAATTCTGTAGTGCAGCGCAGGTGGTGCAATCTATGTGGTGCATTCCACATGTCAGAACTTCAAGTCGTCAACCTCACTGCTCGCGCAACCATCCCACTTTCACCCGCAACTTGTTCTGCAAAGCCCATGCGGCCGCGTTTGCGGTGACTGCTTGGCACTGGTTGGCGCATCTCTGCGGCCGCGCTGACGCTGGCAGGTCGGTACCGAGAGAGGCCAGCTAGTTTGGTACAACTGATGCGGCTGCGATGGCGCTTGCCGACAGGAACTTGCCAGCGCGTCTCAGGAGGCCGCGCTGGCGCGCGGGCACCTCAGTGCGAGTCGGTGTCTCGGGCAGGCGGTGTATCATGATGACGTGGGCAACGGCGACAACGATGATGACATTGGCGATGCTGGTGGCGATGATGACGATGACGACGGCACGGCCAATGATGGCGCCGATGCTGGTGACGACGATAACGATAACGATAAAGATGATGGTAATGATGATGCTGATGATGATGATGATGGTGATGGTGATGGTGATGGTGATGATGGTGGTGGTGGTGGCGAGGGTGGTGGTGGTAGTGATGATGACGGTGATGATGGTGATGATGATACTGATGCTGACGATGATACTGGTGGTAGTGATGATGATGATGGTGATGCTAGTGCTGATGATGATGATGATGATTATATGTGGATGCTGATGATGATGGTGATGAGGACGGTGATGGTGGTGCTGACGATGATAGCGGTGATGATGATCATGCTGTCCATGTGATGTTGATGACTGGGATTGGCGGACGATTGCGGCAGCGGTGGCGATTGGCGATGACGGTAGCGACGGCGGTGCGACAGGCCTGATTCGGCTGATAATGAGGAGTTGCGTTCGTGCAGATATTCAAGAAGCCAGGCACCTATTTGGTTAATTCACACCTGGTTTCCATATTTTTCTGAAGAGCGATACCTTGATATGCCTCGAGCACTGAATGCGTTTCAAAAGATTTCGGGCAGCGCACGTGGCGGCGCGCGCGCGTGGCCCACGTTGTGTTACTGGATACTCTCTCGTGCACTGGGTCAACGCCTTGGCATCGCTCGGACGTGTGCATTTTTCCTTCGGCGAGGACCATCGAGGAGCATCCTTGATCAATTGGCGAAAAAACCACGCACGAAACCGAGAAAAAACACAGGGAATGGACGTCCGAGCGATGGCGAGACGCAGATGCACCACGCGGTGAGATGGGGCTGTGGGCTCTGGACGGGATAGCTTAGATCCCATGGTTACCGCTGGATTCCAGCATGAGCGCGCGGGCAGAGACTCCGCAAGAGTTGTGACGATAAACCTGGGGTTTCTTGGTGTGATTAGGTTGAGATGCTTGCAGCACAAATGTGTTTGTTATGATTCCCCAAGCAGTGCTTGGACTCAGGGGCTGCGCTGTGGGGCACGTCTGCGGGCCCGGCGGCCCCGTTCTCCTCCGTTGCCGCCCCGGTTGCCAGAGAGACGCCAGTCTGCGGGCCCGGCGCCCCCGTTTTCGTCCATGGCTGCCCGCCGCCGCCGCCCCGCTATACCCCCCGATCCATTGCAATCGCGGCGCATGGCAATCGCATCGCGTTGCATTGCATTCCATTGCATTGCACATTGCTTTGCACTGCACTGCTTTGCGTTGATTTTTATTACCTTGCATTGCTTTGCGTTGCTTTGCGCTGCTTTGCATTGCGTTGCACTGCTCTGCATTGCTTTATATTGCTTTGCCTTACCTTGCTCTGTATTGCTTTGCATTGCTTTGCAGTGTATAATATTGCGTTGCATTGTTTTGTATTGTTTGACTCTGTCTTGCATTGCGTTGCACTGCTTTGCCTTGCTTTGCGTTGCTTTGCGTTGCTTTGCACTGCGTTGTATTGATTTGCAGCGCATTGCATTGCTTCGCCTCGCTTTGCATAAACTTGCATTGCTTTGCATGGCTTTGCATGGCTTTGCCTTGCTTTGCGTTGGTCTGCAATGCGTTGCGTTGCTTTGTATTGCTTTGTATTCCTTGACATTTATTTTTATGTAGTTTCATTGCTTTGTATTGCGCATGGCTTTGCGTTGCTTTGCATTTCGTTGCAATCGCATTGCATTGCAATCGCAGTGCTTTCCAGTGCTTTACCTTGCGGTGTCTTGCTTTGCGTTGCTTTGCGTTGCTTTGCATTTATTTGCATTGCTTTGCACGGCTTTGCGTCGTTTTGCATCGCATTGCATTGCGTTTCACGCCCTTGCCTTGCTTTGTCTTGCGTTGCTTTGTTGCCTGGCTTTGCATTACTTTGCATTGCGTTGCGTTGTTTTGCCTTGCTTCGTATTGTTTCTTACTGCCTTGCATTGCTTTGCCTTGCTTTTCAGTGCTTTGCACTGCGTTGCATTCCTTTGCATTGCTTTGTTATTTTTTATAGTGCGTTGCTCTGCTTTGCCTTTCTCTGCCTTTCTTTGCATTGCGTTGCATTGCTTTGCCTTGCTTTGCCTTGCTGTGCATTGTTTTGCCTGGTTTTTCAGTGCGTTGCTTTGCACTACTGCTCCGCATTACTTTGTATTACTTTGCATTTCTTTGCATTGGTTTGCATTGCCTTGCGTTGTTTTGAACTGCTGTGCAGTGCTTTGCATTGCTGTGTATTGCTGTGCATCACAAAGATTGCACCACATGTATTGCACCACGAAGATTGCATTACATGTGTTGAACCACTTACATTGCAATGCAACGGCTGTAAGACACCACAGTTTTGGGTCCACGCTGGTGACATGTGCGCGCGCGTGTCGACTTCGTGCAGTTTTGTACAAGGGATTCTTGCAACATGTTTTTTTGAGATGAACCAGTGCGCGCCTATGGTGTTATTTGGCAGGGATGACGGGGGGAACGATCATCCAGTCGCCCTGGATGGTATAATTTCATTTGGAATATGACTGATGAGGCAGCATCATATGTAGATTGCAACGCCCCAGGGGGACGGTTAAGCCCGCGTTCGGGAGGGTAGTGGAGTCTGTTTGTTTTTCAAAAGGGGACCGATGTTATGCAAACTGTGGTGCAAGCTATGTGGTCAAAGGTATGTGGTGCAGCATGTGTGCATCCAGAAATGCCATCCGAGACGCCCACGGGCACCCACCGGCCGAACATCAGGAACCGCCAGCCAGCGCACGAGGTGCCCACGGGTTCGCCCGCGGTCGCACTGGCCGAAAGCCGGAAACCGCCAGCCGATGCTCCAAAGAACGACGTAAGATCCTTATTGGCGCAAGCACTGTTCGGGCAACATGCCGTTACCGATACTCTTCCTTCGTTTTCGCCTTTGTTGGGTCTTCTGGAGGGCCCTCGTCGCACGGTTGGATTCGCTTCGGAGTCCTGGTCAGAGCGCGCCCCAGGAGAGGTCCAGGGCGTGACCTATTTAGGAGGAGGGCTGAGTTTTTCGGATAAGTGTCGATCTGGCGTCTGATGGCACGGATCAGTTCCAGAGAATCTGCGCATATCATGGCTTTGTAATCTGCATGCGGGCCTGTGTGGTGCGCAATGTCTGTGGCTGATCTCATCACCGGTTGGGAGTAGCGCAGTGGAGATTGCGCAGGGGGCCCACACCCGTGCATCCCCACTGATTCTCGGGGGTCAGGTCGGGTTCGGGATGTCACGTCCTCGCGCTGCTGATGTGCTTGGGTCGCACCACTCTGTGCTTGCTCTGCATCTTCCCGCCCTCCCACCCAGCTGCGGGAACTGCACCACATTATGCTGGTTCTTCATGTATCCGCCCTCCAGCCCAACTGCGGCTGGGCCACGTACTCGTTTGTTCCCCAACTCCCGAGGCACGTCGCCAGCACGGAGTAAGAGGGCTGAAGCTTGGGGGCGTCCCTGCCAGGAGGGCTGGACAGAGATCTCCCCTCTTGCTGCTGGGGCAGAGCATCTAGGCATGTATTAGCGGGATCTGTATCTGTTTTTCCCCCGAGGAGATGCTGGCGCAGCTGGAGGCGGAGTTCCCCGCGGAGACGGAGGATGGCACGAAGAATCGTGAGGCCGTCCTCCAGGAGATTCAGCAGATGGTGTCGGACTGGCTGACCGGTCTCCTAATGGAGGGCGGTGCCTCCGATGAAGAGGCCCGGAGGTCAAGCATAGCGATCACGACGCTGGGCTCCTACAGGCTGGGCGTGGTGCATCCGGGCAGCGACATCGACACCCTCTGTATCGCTCCCCCAAATGTGCGCCGCGAGGACTTCTTTGCCACCTTCTTCGAGCGGCTCAACAGGCACGAGCACGTGACGGAGTTTGGGGAACAAAAGTACGCTGGTGCCGCTTCTCCCCAGACCTCTCCCAGGGTGCGTTCTGACCAAGATTCAGGAGGCCCAAAAAGGCGAAGTCGAGGGAAGGGTAGCGGTATGGGTATCTTTTCTTCCCTTGAGGAGTGCGTGCCCATCCCCGACGCGTGCCCCAGTGGTCTTGACCCTCTCCCCAGCGACAGTTTTCCGATCCATTTTTGATTGCCTCAGGGCCACCAAAACGCTTCCCAGAGGCCGACACACATGAGAACATGGGTCACCCGAAGAAGCGCGGAGGTAATTATGCTTCGAGCGTCGCGTCCTGCGCTGGGCAGCTGCCCTTCTCAAAGGTGTCCTCGCGAGAGCGCGCAGGTAACCGCCCGTCGCGCATCGCCCAGCGCGATGGGCGAAGCTAGGTGACCTGCGCAGGGACTGGAAATGTCAGTCCACCCGAGTGCCAGGTACACGCCCAGGCCGCCCGAATGGACTCCCGAGAAGACCGGGTCAGAAGACTGCGCCGCATCGCCGATTTATCGGCGACGCGGCGCGATCCAGTGCCTGATTCTCTCCCTCCAGACGCCGCCGATGCATCGGCGATGTGGTGCCAGAATCCGGCCCCCTTTGCTCCGACCTCCTCAGAAAGATCAGCCCGCCCGAGTACCACAGGTACACCCCCATCATCAAGCTCAAGATGCGCGGCGTGTGCATCGACCTGCTCTTCGCCCGCCTGGCGCGCACGCCGGAGGGCCGACGACGGCGACGGCGACGGCGACGGCGATGTCGGCGGCGACGACGACGACGGACGCGGCGGCTATGGCGGCGACGACGAGGCGCGCCTGTCGGAGGGCGAGAGCCCGGAGGAGGCGAGGCTGCGCGGCGGGGTGGTGAACCTCGACACCTGCAGGGAGGACGACGCCCTGAAGGATGCGGTGGCGTCGGTGGCGACGACCGCGACGACGTCGACGATCGGCGGCGCGCAGGGGGGTTGCTGGCGTGAGGGGCGCGGCCCTCTACGAAGGCAGGGCCTTCTTCAGACGGGCCTGGTGGCTTCTGGGGAGGCTTCTCAGGAGCCGGGAGGGCTTCCAAGAGGCCCTTGGCATTCCAAGAAGCCCCCCGCCTGCCTAAAAGGCCGCCTCCCTCGCGGCAGCCCCTTGTGCTCGCCGCTGAGACGGTGGCGGTGGCAGCGACGGCAACGTCGACGGCGACGGCGGCGGCGACGACCGCTGCGCTCTCGGGTCCTCTCTGGGCCCCCGTGAGGCCTCCAGGGGCCGCTCCTGGCGTCAGGGGGGGGGGGCAAGGGGGACGGCGTCGGCGAGGGCGGCGACGGCGACAGCGGCGGCAGCGTCGACGGTGAGGACATGGACGAGAAGAGCGTCCGGTGCCTGAACGGATTCCGGGTGGCGGACCTCATCCTGCGGCTGGTGCCCGGCGGCGCGCAACGCGACGACGCCGTCGCGCCGCCGCGCCCGCCGCCGCCGCCGCCGCCGCCGCCGCCGCCGCCGCCGCCCGCCGCCGCCGCGCGTCGTCGTCGTCGTCGTCGTCGTCGTCGTCGTCGTCGTCGTCGTCGTCGTCGTCGTCGTCGTCGTCGTCGTCGTCGTCGTCGTCGTCGTCCGCCGCCGCCGCCGCCGCCGCCGCCGCCGCCGCCGCAGCCGGCGCCGCCGCCGTTGTCTGGGGGTCTCGGGGCGTTTCTGCAGGTTCCCGAGGCCACGGCTGGACGCAGCTCGAAGCACGGGCCAGGCTGTTCCTCGGGAGGAGGAGGAGGAGGAGGAGGAGGAGGAGGAGGAGGAGGAGGAGGAGGAGGAGGAGGAGGAGGAGGAGGAGGAGGAGGAGGTCCGGGTGCCGGTTTTGGGAGGGCTCTGGTGGCTCGGGGCGGAGCGCAGCGGGCTTCTCTGCGCAAGACCTCCATGCCTTCTGTGAGGCCTTCTTGGAGAAGATCCCGAACCCTTCCACACAGACACCCCGCCCTCTGAGAGTATCGCCCCCCTGGCCCCGCGACCTCTCGGCGCACCTCCCAGGTGCCAAACCATGAGACGTTCAGGCGGACCCTCCGATTCATCAAGTACTGGGCTCGTCGCCGGGGCATCTACTCCAACATACTGGGCTTCTTCGGCGGGATCACGTGGTCGCTTCTCGTGGCCCGCGTCTGCCAGCTGTACCCCCACTACTCCCCCAGCCAGCTCACGCACAGGTTCTTCCGCCTCTGGGCCCAGTGGGACTGGAGGAACTGCGGGGTGGGGGGTTGGGCAAGAGTGTTTTGTTTTTTTGCCCAGCGGGGGTGGATCGACCCCGAATCGCTCAGTCATCGCCGATCAAGGCTTGGGTGCCCACCCTTCCCAATCATGTGCGGTTTCGCTATCGAGGGCCCATCGCCGACCTATCGGCGGTATGTTTTCCAATCAGTCTTGCACTTAGGGGGTTCTTACTTGTGCTCTAAGGAACTGGGCCGTGTGGTCGGTCTGGCGGCTGTGTGGTCGCCGTCGCCGCCCTGTCGCCGCCTCGTCGCCGCCCGTCGTCTGGGCCGTGTGGTCGGTCTGGCGGCTGTGTGGTCGCCGTCGCCGCCCCGTCGCCGCGTCGTCGCCGCCCGTTGCCTGGGCCTTGTTGGGCATTGCAATCCAATCGGTTGCAATGCAATCGCTTGCAACACAATCGATTGCATTCCAATCGATTGCAATCGATTGCAAAACATAGATGCCACCACATACATTGCGCACCACATACATCTCAACACCACATACATTGCACGATATTTATGGTACACCATGTACAGCACAACGTAGATTGCAGCACATAGTTTGCATCATATCGCTAATTATATACATTTGTACCTATATGTATACACATTCCTCATATTCACATGTGTACACATCGTACACATATAATGCATACACGCACATATACACCTACGTATGTACACATGGCACACCTGGTATTTTACCTCATAGGTCGCACCACATATATTGCACAGCGTAGATCGCACACTCTAGATTGCACCACAGATATTGCTCCACATAGATTGAGCAGCATGCCTTGCACCACGTCTGTTGCAGGACATATAATGCTGCAGATCACACATGGCACAACGTGTATATGTAGTTGCATATTTATACACGGCATACATATATATACATATATATATATATATATATATATGTAACATAACACCCTCGGGGTTGGGCGTATGTTTGGACCTCATAGGCAAAGCGTCGCCGTCGAGCGAGCAGGTGATATAGTGTTCGCCCGACGGGCCTCGAGAGAGCTCAGGGTGAACACTCCTTCGCTCGATCGTTCCGTAGGTGTACGGCTCAAGCGGCTGCGCCGCAGGTCAGGTCCTGCGGTCTGGAGCTCGAGCGCTTCAGGCACTCTGACCGTGCACCTTTCCGCGCCCCCTGACCTCGACTGGTGCTCGTCCGATCAGGTGCTGATGGCGGACGAACGCCTGACAGTGCTGATGCCGGGCGAGTGCTTCCGACATCCCGTCTTGCATGATGACGGGTCCGACGCGGGCTCTGTGGTTGGCGTGGTGCGCAGAGTGATGTCGGACAACCCAGGGGGCACCGCCTACGAAGTGGAATACTTTGCTGCTGGAGACCAATACCTGTCATGGTGGCTTAACTCACGGATTGCGGAGCGAGAGAAGATGATCTTACACGTGTGCCGTGGGCCAGTCTCGCGATGTCGCTACACGGCACCGCGGGCGGGGTGCCAGGTGTTCCACACCAGAGCGCCCCAGAGGCTCACGGCCGTTCAGGCAGCCGAGCGGCACATGGCAGTGCTCCAGCACGATGAGGATTGCCCCGAGCTGCCGGCTGATGTCGCTCAGGCCGCCTTAGATGAGGCTGAGGCCGCTGAGGAGAACGAGGAGCCGCCGCCGAGTCGCGCCGCTTTCGCTGGCCCGGCCAGGAAACGCCCCGCCGGCGTAGGCAAGGCTGGGGGCGACCTGGTGGAGCTCGACGGCGACGAGGAGGCCGACGAGGCGGACGCGGACGCCTTCGCTGAGCTCGACAGGGAGCTCGCAGCGCTCTCAGGCAAGTCCGAGGGCACGAAGAGCTCGGCGAAGGACGGCTACCTGGAGCGCCTCAACAAGTTGCGGGAGAAGCTCGCGACAGCGCGCGGCCCGGAGGCCGCTGCGGGCGGCGCCACGGCCGCCGCACCCACCATGAAGGCCAAGCTCGGCGAGGTGGTCCAGGCGAGGATGACTGGACAGGCGCCGAGTGCTGCCGCTTCTGGTCCAGCAGATGGCAGTCGTGCTCGCGGCTCAGGCGAGCGGGCAGTGCTGAAGACGCTCGCCGAGTACCTGAGTCAGAAGGGCGACGACGACGACGGCCTGTTTGACAGTGATGATGATCGCGTCCCTGGCGGGCGCCCTGTGGCGGCCCGCCGCCTCGCGTACAAGAAGATAGCGGAGAAGCATCCAGGGCGCCTCTCGGAGAGGGAGATGGAGAACATGGCGCAGTTTCTGGACCATGATGATGCTGGAGGTGTGAACAAGCATAGCCCCGTGGCGCTCAAGTTCTTGCTCCGGGTGCTGAAGCCCGCGCACCCCATTCGTGAGATTGGTGAGGACCGGTACCGCGAGCTGCGGACGCTCGCGGAGGGTGCGGACCTCATAGTCTCAGGCAAGCCCATTCACGCCCTGGGTTTCATCTTCTGCAGGATCAAGGCTATCCAGAAGACCATGCGGGATGGCCATTCGAGGACGGCGAAGTGGTTCGAGCTCATCCCCCCCGACAATGGTGGATTGAGCCTCTCAGTTGAGGGCGGGGAGCTCGTCACGGGCATCGAGGCCGCCGAGGTGCGCATGGCCCAGCTGCTCGGGCGCTTCGGGGGCCGCGGCTAGGGGTCTGGCCGGGGCGGCGGCGAGAGCTTGGCCGACCGCCCTGCAGGCCCGAGCCGTGGTGGAAGCCCGGACAGCAGAGCGTTGCCGATCACCCGCGTCGGCACTGCCGCGGACGCCGCAGACTTGCGCAGCCGCTCGGGAGTGCAGCCGCCCAGGGGTCGTGCTCCTGCCCTGGAGGCGGGCCGCGCCGATCCCCCGTCGGGGGGCGGCTTGCCCGCGCTGACAGACCGCCCGGCCCCCCAGGCGGTGGGCGGGAAGCCCCTGTCAGCGTGGGCGGCGGCGCGCGCGAAGACTCCGCGTGCCGAGGGGGAGTCCAGGCGGCAGTTGAAGAAGAGGATCGCGTCGCAGTTCTTCAAGCGCCGGGCGTCGGCCAAGAACGCGGCGAAGCCGAGCGAGCCGCAGAGGCGGGTCGTGCTGAAGCATTGAGCGTGATGAGTGACGCGGCTATCGGCAGCGAGGTGGCCGCGCTGACGTTGGGCCAGTGGAAGGCGGACATCGCCTCGCGCATGTGCCGCAGCGGCCCAAGCCAAATGACAATGCTGGAGAATGCCAAGTTGCATTGGAGATTTCGCTAGAAGGTTCCTTGTGGGCGTCGCGCCACAATCGCCGGAGGCTGGTGTCGGGCGTGATGTGCTGCCCCTGCCCGTAAGGGAGCCGGCAACCTTTTTCGCCTTGGAACGTGATCTGATGAGGAGGAATGTTGGACGGTGAGGGATCCCCCGTGGATGTTACGAAGTGGCCAGCTGCTCTAAAGAAGGAGGCCCAAGCCATGGCGGTCGAGGTGTGGACTTTCCTGAGCGTGCTGGGCCTGAACTACCTTTACCTTGGGCACCTGAGCAAGGACCGCTGGGAAGCAGCCGGGCGCCTTTCTGAGGTGCAGGCCGCCAGCCTACGTGTGATCGGTGAGACGGTCGAGTGGCACGTGGGCGACGCGTTGGCGGCGGTGGACATCCCGTTCTGGCCTCAGGAGATGAAGAAGACGAGGTCGAGCTACGATCTGGAGGAGGACTGTCGGGCGCTCCCCTTGAAGTTCGGCGAGCTTGAGCCCGGCCTTCCCAAAGCCGAAGATATCGGCCGCTTGGACGTGCTGGACTATGTGGGGCCAGAGCTCAAGGAGGTGCTCACCAAACCCGAGATGTCGCTCTTGCCGGAGGCCGAGTGGCCCGAGTCGCCTCCGAAGGCAAAGGTCAACGTCGAGAAGCTGGAGGACTGGTGGGCCATCGCTGCCAAGCTGGTGGAGCGTGGACTGCTGGCCCCTATACCAGCTGAGCGCATCTTTGTGGCCCGCGGCCGTCGCGTCACAAATGGGTTGTTTGCTGTGACAAAGTCGGGGTCCCCAGCTGAGGGAGAGGCCAGAGTGACACGTTTGATTTTCAACATGGCCCCGACGAGTGCGTACCTTCGACCGTTGGCAGGGGGCTCAGTGACTCTGGTACCCTCGCCGGCGTGGGTAAGCATCTCCCTTGGCCCCGAGGAGGTGCTGCTCTGGAGTGGGGACGACCAGAAGGGAGCTTTCTTCATGTACCGCATCCCTGCGCCGTGGCTGGGCTACATGGCGATCTGCACCCCAGTCCCCGGCCGTGTTCTTGGCATGAAGGCCAAGGAGGTGTGGCTGGCCATGACAGTGCTGCCCATGGGCTGGGTGTGCAGCGTTCCCATTTTCCAGAGCGTCCACCGGCGGGTTGCGCTTCTGGGTCGCCCTGCTGGCGCCGCCCTCCCAGCTGACCTGGAGTGGCGGCGCGACCGTCCTATCCCCGCCGCTGCAGCTGCTCCCCTGTCTCATGAGGGCCCTCGCGAGTGGTGGAGTGTGTGCGTCGACGACTTCGATAACTGCGAGACGGCTGGGTGCAAGGAGGCGCTCGCGAAGGTGGGCACTCCTGGCCGCCTGCAGGCCCTGATGAGGGAGAGCTACCAGCGGAATGCAATCCCCATCAGCGTGGACAAAGCCAACCAGAGGCAGCTCTTGGTCACGCCCATGGGTGTAGAGGTGGACGGGATCTCAGGCAGGGCCGCCAACAATCGGATAAATAACGTGCAGCTGTACAGCCTTACCATGTGGCTCCTGACAAGAGAGAACCCCCTCGGGAACCAGCTCCTCATTCTCATGGGACGTTGGGTGAGGGCGCTAGAGTTTCGACGTCCTCTCTTCGGGGTGTTCAACTCGGTGTGGGAGCAGATTGGCTCGGGCCGTACTGTGTTGACCAGGGCCAGCCTGGGCGAGCTGATGCACAGCTGCCTGCTGATGCCCCTCGCCTCCACCAACCTGAGGGCCGCTACCACGAGCATCGTCTCGTGCTCTGACGCCAGCGAGGACGGTGCTGGTATGTGCACGGCCGTGGGGCTCGCAGAGGGGGCCGCGGAGTTCCTGGGATCTCTCGGGAGCC